TGAAATTATTTTAATTAGTTAAAGAGAAACGCGTCCGGGCAGGCGTCTTGGACGTTTCCTATTTTCATCTACCTTTGTTTCCCATCGATTGGGTAAAGGTCGATCAGCTAATAAGGTAATTTGTGGCGAGTAACAAGCAGAGAGATCTCTCATCAAAATTCCTTTCAATTGGAAACGAACTTTCGGAATTTGTCGTTGCCTAGAAAGGGTATCTAAGCAACCGGGAGGCTTCTTTGATGTCGGGTTGGTGGTCTTTGATGAATATTAAAATTACCAGAGGGGTAACGGTGTCGCGTTTGACCCAGTCCTTCTAGGAACTTGCGAATGATATCGCAACATCCTACCAAGCACATCCTTTAGGATGTCCTGAATATTTCGTGACCCACATGAACGAACGACTTCGGTCCTCGCCGCGACTAAATAATTCTAATGCCGCCACAATTGAAGTCCATCGACGTGCTGCTATGTGTGCCTCTGCGTTTTCTACTGATTACGTATTCAACGTGGACCCTTTCCTTTGCTGATTTATTGACCCTTCACGATCAAACTTCGAATAGTAGCACGCAACCCTTATAAAGGATTCTTCTTTCCTTCCCAACTGTTTAACGCCAATTTATTTTAATTCGTCCCTTTCATTTATTATATTATAGAAACTAATAAGAGTTAAATAGTGCATTCAAAACTGAGTGGTTACAGAGAGATTGATAGTAAAACCAGAATCGAGATTATTTTTTATTCTTCACTTTCGACTTCGTTTTTTTATGAAAAATCCAGTTCCCGGTCTTACAGCTAATTACCCCGTGTACAAGTTTCCGAAAAAGGGAGCATCGAGTTTGCTTTCACGTGTCTGTTTTACACACAAAGTATCACGTTTTATACGTTTCTCAAAATGTTAAAAAATTGATTTATGCCTTTAGAGACTCGTCTATTCCTTCTAGCATGCTCAGCAATTATTTTATTGGCGCTTTTAGAGTTTGAGGACAAGAAATATCGAACAAAAATCGTTTTCAATGACGCTGTAATCGTAAGTTGGCGAGTTCTAGGTTCGAATTGGCAACGTACGCGGTTCCATTGACGCGTGTCTTCAAAAGATAATGCAAATTAGCGAATATAATGCGCACGATCCGGATGTGCTGCTCATGAATAATAATCCGCGTCGCTTTACAAACTTTCAGAACGTTAATTTCGCTTTTTCCTCGCGAAATGCAACAGCTGTACGTTATTTTCGTTCGCGACTAGTCGATCGACCTTTCATATATTTTTTTTTTATTGTGGAAAAATCGTTTTATTCCCGTTTTTTTTTTTTATTTCTGTCGATCAGTAATCATGGTTAGACGAGAGTCAAGGGACGTTTCGCTTCTGTGATCGAACACGCATGATGTACCAATAACTTTGGTGCACTGCACTTAACGGTACGCGAGGATTTGCATCGAGTCATCGGACTTTCAACCCCTCTCTTCTTATCCTTCGCAAACTGGTTGAATCCTCGTGATTTTTCTCTGAAATCGGTAGTCGGTAGTTCGTTGACCATGATTAACAATCCACCCATAGCAATTTCCACGCATTAATCAGTCTCGCGATCTGGGGGAAATATCTATTACAGATTGGAACGAACGGAAAAATAAACTGTTATTTTTCTTGGAATTCAGAGTGTGATGTTTCGTACAGAATCTCACGTACGCTTGAATAACACGTGCATAAACACGTCGCGTAAACTCGAAATAATAAAATAACGTTCGCTAATACCAACCTTTGCACTCGTGCATCCTATCATATTGAAAGCTTCGAGCACCTTCTTACGTTTCGTCCTGTTGGGAGTTATGTGCACCAGTGTCGTAAAAATTTCTCTGTATCAACTTACCCCCGGTCTCCAGCTATTAGCCACGAAGAATGTTCGTGAATAATGTTCGCCGTACGAGGAAAATCCATCTGTTCGCCGGTAACTTACGTTTTCACGCATTGCTATTAGTCGCTGGTTTACGCGGTGTGAAATATCGAAACAACCTTTCTCAAAAAATCAAGGTACTTTGCAAGGTATTAAAGTTGATATTTTTTCGATAAAATCAATAGTTCAGAGAGGTATTTACGTTTTCAATTACGATCTTACAGGACTTTGTACGCGCTTGATCTCTGTCAAATTTCGAAACGTTCTCCTAATGATTCTCGCGATTTGCTGAACTCTTTCGTCCTTCGATCTAAGGAAACGATCACACTAAAGTCTCGTTCTCTTCTCTAGTATATTTCTAGGCTGAACGGGGTCTGTCTGAGGCGACTATGCCGCGAATTCTTCGCGAATGTCCCGCGGGATTCCTCGGTTGACGAATTGCCCAGAAAATGACGAGCGTGGAAAAGACGAATGGCGTTTCGGGCGTCGTGGATTTTGACGTCACGGTCATTACGCCGTTAATTAATCATACATCTTCCACGTCTCGTTCTCGTCGCGTTACGTAAGAATCGACGATGGTAATTACTTCTTTCGATGTTCGCAGAATCCTGGTAAATTTAAACCACGAACGAAATGGTTACGGTTTAAAAATAAATGTTTCCAACACACAACAGTGTCCACTTTAACAGTGTAATTAAGTAATCGGGTTGTATCTTGTTCAAACGAGACAGCATCGGTCCCGGAATCAATGGTGGCTACTAATTTCGTTAATAAAAAGTAGCGCTCGATTTCTCTCCTTGGACTTTGCTGATACTTAGTCCACGTGTTCCTCGGGCTCCTCTACTTTCTTTCTCCGTTTGTTTTATCATCACGCTTTCGGCCCGGGCATCTAAGTATAAAGAAACTTCCGGCAGGAACGTTTGCTCGGTCGCGGTTCTTATTTTTGAAGACGTTTTGGGACGTCGCTGAGAATCTCGAAGACGCTTTTTAATATTGCAAAGTAATTTACATCCTTTCGATGAGTCAACATTTTACATAGAATAAATAACGTGCTTTATAGAATTTTATCAGTCTTCCTTTTTTTTTTTTCATTTCTTTTCGACGTTGGCGCGCGTAATGTTCGAATGGAACTTCCGCTCGCGTTCTTGCTTTAAGAGATACTAAAGCGAGTCGTGCAGTAAGACGTCGATAAAAAAGGTTAATGAAGGTTGAAGACGTGGTCATTCAAGTTGCCCCGGTGCAAACTGTAACGTCGAAAACCTGTTTGTTCCTGCAGTGATAGCGTAACTTAACGGACCATCGAGGATATAAAGTACAAAATTTTTACAGTGCAAGAATATTGAGACCACCCGTTAAAGAACGTTCTCTATTGAAACGTTTCTAAACTTGCTCCCATAATTAATCAACTATTAACTATTTCGATCTGTAATCCAATAAATTCCGTTCGTTGCATCATCTTAGAATGTTACTAGTGTCCTTGTTAGAGAAAAACTGCAGTCTCGTTACGAAAGTTGTGGTAATTTTAAAGAAAATATTCCTTTTAACGCAAAAAAGGTGCCATGGTTTAGTGGATCGTATTCCTCCTATTTTCCCCCGTTTCTTAATTTACAACGTCGCTTCTTCCATCGGTGAAACGCAAATTATGACCGTCACGGAACGCAGGGAATTGCCAATTGCGTGTACGAGCAATGGTTGCCTCGAGGAATGCGGGAAAACTCCGAAATCATTAACGAAGTCAAGGTAATCCAGTTCTTGGTCGTGATTGTGCTCGATTATCCGATCATTTTCGTCCCATTAAATTATTTCATCGCGGACGACGAACTCGTCAGACGTTGATCTTTGGTTTAGGATGACGTGCAACTCGCGGAACGATATACTTCTGCGTCAGAGTTTGGAAAAATTTTCGCGGCGACCATCAGAAGATATGAATTTAATTGGGAGATTAGAGCACCTGTACGTTTAAATCGCCATCTTCGGAACGGGGAACTGAAAAGCAGACTTCGTCCTCGCCTGACTTACGCGTAATACATTGTAACCGTGTTTGTCGCGCGCTGTACAATACACGCAATCCACCTTCGAGATTATAATTTTCAGACAATAAGGCTTCTCGTCTTCGATCGCCGAGCGACGACCAAGTATTCCACACGCTCGGGAAAATGACGTTAGAGGAATATTCATATCTCCAGTAATTCGTTCGAATTTCCATACAAGAGGAAAGAAAAATTCGGTTTTGCAAGTTTCTATAATTTGTTCACGCTTGGAATCGTGGAATGAAATAAATACTTGCAATTTTCTTAACGTTTTAAATCTCCTAGAAAGGTTGCAATTCTGTATACATAATTTTCGAGAAAAATTCTATCTTGTTTTAACGATTACTCGTAATTACGTAATTTTGTTCCACGAGGGTTCGCTTTTTTTGAACGGGTACGTCAAACGTCTCGAAAAACGTCAACGTTCTTGATGTTTGGATACTTGACAGAATCGGTATCGGTTGATAACTAGCGCGACGCGAGGTTTGACGTTTCCTGATTCGACTTTCTACGGTCAGCGTATCTTGAACTTCATTTCGCAGCGAACGAAACCGAGCTCAGATACGATCACCGATTTCGATGTTCTGAAATGCGACGCTTAATTTACTTCGATCCGCGGACCATGTGGGACGAATACGATTTCGAAGTTGAATAACCCCGTCAAACGATTATCACGTTCCAACGAACCGACGCACGGTAGACCAGAAATCGAATCGCGATAAAAATAATTGATTTCTGTGCCGGGGGAATGCTTTATTCGAATAATAAACAACCGATAAGGCGATCTACAGCAATTTATTGTTGGTTGTAAAACATTTCGTTCTACGATAAAAGCTTTTATTCAACTTTAAGCTGCTTACAGTGTGTGGCTCATAAATAAAAAGAAATATATTGTGAAATTTAAAATTAGTAGCCCAGTCGATCAAGATATTTTCATAGACGATAAAAAGTGCAAAATGAAATGAAAATGCAATAAAATCGTGTGTTTTTCTAGCATTTTACATTTTTCACAGCCCTATCATTGTACCATAGCGAAATATTTGAATAGAATATGTACTAACGTGTTTCGTTTTATCAATTTACAGGTGTACAAAGGTCTCGACATCGTCACAGCAAAAGTCACCAAAGAAGAGAAAGAAATGGCTCCGCATCACATGTTGGATATCGTAGATCCCCTGATTCTTAATTTTTCCGTACTGCAGTTCAGGGACATGGCCCTACCCATTGTAATTTCTCCTCTTTTAACCCCTTACGTTAACATCGTTCACTAAACAGAACGTGGAGATTACATTAGTTATTTTCAATCAGTTTCTGTCCGTCAACCGCGAAAAGAAACGCGTGGAAAATATTTAATGTAATTTCCTCGTAAACGACCAGTGTGTAGGCTTCAACGATAATATTCTAAATATCAGAGGAAATTATCGATAGAAGCGTAACATTCCACGTGTACTAACTCAGTAATTTCCTGATTGTGTAACAGTTAACAACATTGCACGCAAAACGATCCCAGCATGCGAATCTTCGCAAATAGAATTTTCGAACAAGTAGAGTGATTCACAGATTCGAACGTTTCAAGTTTATCGAGTGTTGCTCAGCTTGAAACGGGATCGATTTGCTTTTGGAGGGCTTCGTAAAGATCATTCTTAGCACGAAGCAGAACGATTCAGCGATCGAGACCATGAGAATGAAAATTAGTCACGGTCTTTGAAACCAATCGTGTGTCCATGTTCGTATGTTCAGCTTCAGCCCTCCTCGAACGCTCCTTCTTTGATCTATTTAGATCGACGATTTACTGGCCAGGAAAAAGCTCCCGATCGTTGTCGGTGGCACCACTTATTACATCGAGTCTCTCCTCTGGCACGTTTTGATCGCCGATCCGAAACCAGCTGTGCCTCGATCCGATAACTTATGCACGAAAGAGACGTCCCAGGTCGAAGACGAACAGAACATCTCCTCCTCGAAGAAGATGAAATTCGAAATGGATCGATCGACGATGGAGAGCAACGAGGAGCTTTTCAGGAAGCTGTCCGAAGTCGATCCGGAAATGGCTAGGAGGCTTCATCCGAACAACAAGAGAAAGATTATCCGGTGAGTGATCTAATCCCACGATCGAAATTAGCTCTATTATACACGGTGTGTCTACGAAGTTATTAGGTTTATACAAATTTAAACTAACTTTTTCTTTCTCAGCCTTCGGTACAGCATTTAAATTCCTTTGTAAAAATCAATTTTCAAACTATCATTTGCGGATTTTTATTAATTTTATTCCGAGTCGAAACGTAAGGTAGAATACCTTTTAAAATATTTTTAATACACTTGCACGAAGTTTAACGATTACCTAATCATTAAGTTCAGGAAGCGCATAATTGGACGAGTCGTCTCGAGAAAAAATAGAATGATAATTTTCGTACATAAATATTTATAGTCGTGGATTGCATGGAAATTTCGAAGTCACGAATATCATTGACGCGAACTTCGCAGAAAGTCTTTCGATTTAATTTGTTTCACGCTTGATGTAGCAACTGCCGATTAATCTTTTTATTTCTTTAGAGTTAGGAGTACAGGTACCGTAATCTTGAGTTTCTTATTTGTGTAATTTGTCGTAACATTTACGGTAGTTGCTCCAGAAATTGACAAATTACTTTTGTCCGAACATGTACGATAAGGTATCACGAATTGTCTCGGAGCCACGATTTAATCGCCTCGAAGAGGCATTTTTAGAATCTAATCTTCTCCGTGCGCGGTATCTGATCGCTCGACAAATCGACATTTTCTGAAATAGTAAATCGTAAATAAAAATCTGTGGTTACGACATGGAAATCGTTCGATCGGGCGGGTCTTTCGATCCAACGCGATAACGATCTGAGCTACAGGGTCCCTTCGTGTTCATAAATTAGGGAATTCCATGGAAAACACGGATATTCGTGTTTGTTTCCTCGATCCTTTTTATACGGTCGACACTGCGTTTCTCTTCTCGGACTCGACGCACGAGTCCGTCCATTTCTTGCAATAAATTACGGTAATTGTGTCTTCGGAGGATGCAAATTACTATTGCGACTTCTGTCGCGTTGGGTAATTGCGCGAAACTTTTAGTCGCGAATAGATTCGCAAGGTCGCAGTGTTTTAAACGTCTTCATCGAAAAGGACACTTCAAGTGGCTTTTTAACACCTACCTTGTTTGCTTCGAACCGAAAGTGATTTTTAATGCCCATAAATTATAGTTTGTAATTAACAGAAACTTCGAGAAACAAGTTTAACCCTGACGATTTTTTACTTTCTGAATCCAATATTTACCTGTTTATTAAATATTCCCCTATCAAGGTAAAACAAGATATTTAATAATCAATATTGTCTTCTTATTGGCACAAGAATTATTTTGTATTTAGTTTTCTTCCTTTTCATTCAATTTTGCAAAAAATTCTTTTACAAGTCACACGTTGATTGCAAGAAATTGTAACAAAGATGGCGTTTCGCGTGTAAAAAACTTGTTTACAAACCCAAATTATTCACTGCACTTGAATAGAAATTACCAGTGGGAAAATTCAATAGAAGCTTCTTAATAACCGGCGACAAAACACACAATAACGCACATATTTCGTCGAAGCAAATACAGTAGTTGCTCGCGAAATTTGCAGTCGAACGAAACGGCATTAACTATTCGTTCTGTGTACCGGGTGTTACGACCGATCGCGGTAATTCTGCGATTCGTTGAGACCGCGTCAGATACTCGGTTGCAAATTGCGTGATTAATTATGCTGATTACGTTTCCTACTGGTTGCAGGTGCGGAAATTATTTTCACGATCAGGTGGTTCACTTTTGTAGATCGTATCTTACAAACGAGACGAGACGAGACGCTGAATTCGTGGTAATTCCACAAATATTATCGTTCGCGAATCGTTTTAATTGACTATTCCGCGCGGAGAGCAAATTAAGACGGTAAATTTTATACAGGCGCGATTCCACGCGTTATTAAAAAGACGTTTTCCGCTAAGTTAACTCCCAGATTCGATCTATTCGCATTGCAATTTTCGATATCGTGTCTAATTGTACGGATTCGATCTAATCGAAGAAAATACTAAATTTTGTTCACCTTCTATGGTGGTTAACGTGTTTCGGAGCGTGTGAGAGACACGACGTACGTATAAACCTAACGCAAATCCACCTGCTTCTCTCCGTTATCTTCCGGTGACATTATAATCGTGTAAAAGCGTATTCGCGGGTACCCAGCTGCTCGAAACCATAATCTCTCTCACGGCTTATAAATTCTAGCCGAAAGATCCCATCAAAAGCATCCTCATTTTCCTGTTAAATGGTCCGAGAGAGCCTGCTCGTTTAATTGATCGAACTATTTAATTTAATGATACGCGTAAGACCATTCCAGCTGCCGACGTTCTCAGACACACTTATGCGATGACCTACATAGACAATTTATAACTGTGTTAATTAAATAACAGGTAATTAGTATTATCACGTATCAAATGTTTCTCAGCGCGGCGATTATCGTGCAAATGCTCCTAGTTCGTTATAATTTTGAGAAAAACAATGCATTAGGTTAATTGACCAGCGTTGGACTTCCCTATCGGTGTCTCACGCATTGGCGAATCATGCACCTCGTATTTGTTGCACGCAAATTTTTTTCGCGTCGTCGTACAAACGTTATAAATCGTAAATAATTTTGTTTCGGTTACAATTTTTTTCATTTTTTCTTTTTTTTTTTTATCTACGGTTGTACTGTTTATTTACGAATATATTACATTTTCAACATTGTACGAGTTATATAACCGCGATAGCGATTATCTTCTGAATAATTGCATATTGCAAATGTAAACGCAGATAATCTTCTATTTTGTATAAGTTTGAGAACAATATTTTTTGCGCTAGTTTTATAATTCACTTCCATATATTGACTAATATGTATCTAATCGTATCTTTTCTTACTTCCTTTTTCAATCGTGTACAGCGTCAGTTATTTTTTTACGAGATTAGATATTCGCGTATTATTGTTATTATTTGTGTGTTTTTAAATATGCTAAAATAAAACGTTCGTCATATTTCGTCGTACGCGCGGCACGATAGATTACACCGTTAAATTAATAATACGCGTCTCGTACATTCATTAGTCATTTTACAAATACTTTTTACGCACTTTGAGCCATCCTCTCATCTAAACGATGCAATTGCGACGCAGTGAAAAAAATAACACGTCGAAGCGTACATCGTGTGCTTTGGACGATGATTCTTTTAGTTTTTCAATTATTAAAATGTTACAGTGCTTTGAAGAAATTATTTCGTACGCAAAATACAGTTTCAATTGCTCAAACTCGATTTATCCGAGATGCTTTGGTCTATATTACGCTCGATTAATCAAAATACAACTTATTACGTTCCATCCTCTTCCTTAAACTGACTTTCTAGTTATACGTCTGTCCGATATCCTCTTATGTCCTTTCTCTAAATTCTCTAAATTCTTCATTCCCTTGTCTAATATTTTACTACCTCCTCTAGATAAATCTTTTAATTTTGCTTTCTCTTCCGCACTCTGTATTCCTTTTATACCTGAGTCGTACATAAATTTCTTTTGTAGCCTTTTCACAACATCACTTTCCGACCATCCACCCATCCAAGACCCTAATCATTATCTAATATCCTGTAATATCGTTTAATAGCGCGTAATAGAGATTTTGACATCTGGATAAATAAACGTTTGTAATCGGTGCGTAATTAGGGGCAACGAATTACTCTATTTTATCGAAATATCGAGAGATTTATAATAGGAAGAGAAACTTTTTTTCAAGAAGTTAGAACTTTCCATACAAAATGACAAATATTTAAACACAAGACGCGTATAGCAATTGATTATTTTGCAATTATAAGAGTAAACACGATTATAATTAATCGTCGCTTCGATTAGTCAGTAATCATAAATAATATTTGTAATCGTTTCACGAAAGATTAATTTAAGCTTTCACTGACCGTTTCGATCCACTTTATTATCAATTAATCGATTTAATTATTTGTGTTGTATATAATTTCATGTAAATATTGATTACTCAATAACCACGGTCATAAATCACCGGCTCGATTGCAGTAATCAGATTACATTTTGCCTAACAGTGATTTCTGAAAGTAAGAAAGTCCATGACCTACATAGAATGATCCTAAGTGGAAGCAGTACCGCTAGGAGTTTAGAATAATTAAGGGGATCTAAGGACTTACAAGTTTTGCACGATCATAATTCAAAGCAACACATTTGCAACATTTTTTTCCTGAAAATTTCTACAATACTCGAAACAATACGAGCGGAATGTTTCAGGTGTGTTGTTTCTTGAAAAGTTTACCTTACGAATATTATTTTTGACTCGAGTAACTTTTTGTTAGCGATTTTTTTTTCGTGAATATTTTTAGGGTAACTGTTATCTTTCGTCCCTGGAATAAACAGAAAATCCGGTAACGGTGGTTCTTGATTTTTATCGCGACGCAAGTAGCACTTCCCAGCGCACGGAAGTAATCGACAATGGCCAATTAGGGCAGGTACGTTTTTGGACAACTGCTCCGCTTTCACAACATGGCCACTGCCGGCAGCTGGTGGTGCTAAACCTTTTCTGTGGTAAGGGCCTTCCGAAACGTTTCATTTTCCGTCGTGAAAAGATCCGGATCTCTATGGGGTGTTCGAATCGGGCTCAGTTAGGTCAAGCAAAGAACCAGGTGTCGAACTTTTCTTTCTTTACAGAAATTGTATTCGACCAAGATACACATTGCGTTCTCGTAGATCTTCCGATGGCCTCGGAGAACGTTTCCCCGATTGCTGATTTGCAAAAGATTCTCACTGAATAGAAACTCCGTCCATTGTGTTCAGATACACGAAAATTTCAATTATGCTTGGATGCAACGCTTCGAACAGATCTTTATTATTTGCTCAACAAAATTCAGTACAATAGACGTGGGAAAAAATGTTATAGCTTACAATTAAATATTTAGAAACGAAGATCACAATTATACGAAAGGTGCAATGTAATAGCTCTTTTTTTATATCTTTATAGCATCGAACGAACTTAAATCTTAATACACATTATAAATTGATCTTTTC